ACATAAATGGACATTCTACCCATTAGCGATCCACGTCCATGTACAATATACTGTTGCTGTTAAAAAAGCTTTGAATGTTTGTTACTCAACGTCTGAAAATAGTCCTAAATAAATGTACTTCTTACTCCTGTTTAAGTAAAATAAATATATTTTATATCAAATAATATGTTTTTTCAAGAAACACGTCTATAGTGTCAAGTTTGTATTGGTATTTTTATGAGATTAAAAATACCAAAAACAATACTGACAACATTAAATCTGCTTTATTCCTTCAGCATCTCTCTTTTATCTGATGTGCTTTTCTTTGAAATATCGTTAGGCTTACTGTGGACAAACACTGTTTTTCTGTGTCTATCTACAATAAAACAAATGTAACATCGCAAGTTGCAGCCACAAAAGAGGCAACTGTCTCTGTCCCTTGCTGACTGATGTTGGTTCTGCTACCGGAAGCTTGAGACTGATCATGCATTTGAAAGGTTCTGAATTCCAGCTCTAGCTAAGCCTGTCCCTCCATCTCAAACAGCACAGACAAAACTGTATTAAAATGAAAGGGAGAATTTGGTTTTGCATCAGAGCAATTAAGCAGTATATTTAAAAAGAGGTAAAGAACAATACATGCTATTATTTCTGCTGATAACATGTGATGCATTCACAAAATTATGAATTGCTCTTTTCGAATAACTTGTTTGAAATATTAACAAAACATACTGGAATGAATGCGATCCAGAACAAACTATTAAATATAAGGAACCGTGGAAAAAAGACAAGAATCAAACTTGTAGCATCAACAACGCGGTGTAACATCTTAGTGCTGTCAATGCATGTTTTATTGCATTCAGTGCACAAAAGATTAACCTATTAGGAAAGGAATTCATTTTTTAGAGAAGAACTGCTGTTATTATCATCACACGGGTGTCAAGGTCAGTGTTGTTAGTTTTCTTTCACACCAAGTTGCTACTAGGTGGGAAAAAAAGATAATCACAGAAACATACAGGTGTTTTAAATGCCTTTGGGAATCAATCCAGGTTTCAGGGCTTTGACACAGCAAACAATTGGCATGCAAATTATGATAGCACAAGGCCATAATAAAACATATAAGGGGAACGAAACAGCAAATGAAACAAAAAACCCATAATGCGTTTTATGTTGTTTTAAAAAATATATATTTTTATTCCAAGAAGTCCCTGATTAGTCCCTGATTAGTCGCATGTCACGTGAAAATTACAGCACAGTCGTTTTGACTTTTCCTCACATTTTTTCAGTTTCAAAATTATGCACCGTGCAAGTACATTTCTTCAAAAAGGCTTTGCTGTCCTGCCTCCAAATGGTGGAACGAGCTCTCTGATGACATCAGGAGAGCAGAGTCTTTACATCTTTCGCCGCAAACTAAAGACACACCTCTTCAGACTCTACCTTGACTAAAAACACAAAACGAATTGTAGCACTTAAATTGTAATTATAATGCCTCTCATCTATAGTTGTAAATCGGCTTATTTGATGAAATTGCAATTTCTTGTTTCTTGTCCTTCTGGGTTTGTATCCATATGGTTGAAATGCACTTACAGTAACCCCAAGACATTGCTTTGGTTTTATATGTCAGAAACAAACAATATACAATGCTATAAATTTACATCAGACTTTGACTATAGCAGACAATGTCTTTGCCTGGCTGTGTTTTAGCTAGGCAAAATATCTACATCCATTCTCTTATGCAAATTAAATATTGTTCAACACTATTATCAGCCTTAGCCTTGGTCCTTTCATGTTAACACCTGAAGTGTTCATTATAATGTTTTGGGCTGATTAAAACAGGTGACCGTGGCACATGGAGTAGAGAGGGTGCGCCGGGAACCGCAGGGTTGGCGGTTCGAACCCTGGCTGCTCCATGTTCCATTTCGAGGTGTCCTCCACCCTGAACTGCTCCACGCGCACCCTTGCGGCAGCACACTGGTCTTACTGCGTGGGATGGGTTAAAATCTAAACCGTGGGTTAATAATTTGGATAAAATTGTAATGCAATGTAAGTCGCTTTGGATAAAAGCGTCAGCTTAAACATACATAGACTTCTCTTGCCTCAACCACATAATGCAAGGATTCTTTGTGTTATTGTCATTCATTGCACTTAATATTTATTGTTTGACTTAACTTAAAAAAATCATGCAAAGCATTTCCATTTGATTGAATGGTTTTCTTTTAGCACAAAGAAGTTATGTTCGGCCAACTTAATTGCATTGAGTTAATGTAAATTAATAGGTTAAATGTGCTCAATTTGAACTCAATTAAATTAACTTAACTAAATCTAGTTAAAACTGATTAAACCATTCATATCGATTAAACACTAAAAATTATATTAACACAAGCCAATAACATAGTGTTTGAGTAATATCTTAGCATAGAGAGAAACCAATTAAATTAAGTGGAAATAATTTCCATGATTCTTTTAAGTGAAGCCAACAAGTTATTTTTTGAGTGTGTCTCCCTGTGACTACTGCTCTGAATCATCCTCCCGGTTCCCCATCGTCCCGTCTTGCTCCTCCTCGCCTACTCCTCTAGCATCTCCCCCTTGTCCTTGCATCCCACACAATTCAATACATCTTCCCCTTTGTTGTTTTTTGGCTGTTAAAACCATGCTCTTCCTCACTCCCTGGTCTGTGTTTTGCATTTGGTGACAGATCGGGTGGCAGAGCGTCTAGCGAGGGAGGCTTGTCTTCTGTCGTTGCAGACCAATCAATAGCTATATCTAACTGAGGAGCACTGGGATCCGAGGAGAGGAAACAGGGGAATTTAATGTATTCATGGTGATTACCGGATAGCACCAGATGCAGCCGTTCCATGACATGGGTAACTTGAGTCAGGAGCCTCTCCTTTAAAGGATGGCCACAGAGGTGGAGCTGAGTGTGTGGAAGGGGATTCCCGCTAGAGGAAGAGTGGATGAAGCTCTAACACGAGGGAAAGGACTGTTGGGCTCCATCTAAGTGTAGCCCCAAGCTGCATTCTGGTCTGGGATAGTGAGGATTGAATGGTTTGGCTCACCAGTATTCCCACCGCTGCTCGAGAACCTCCCCTTTTGCCACTCTGCTGCGCTGCATGGGCGTCTCTGCTGGAGAGGAGAGTTGCATGGAGACCTGGTTGATTTGGTGTCAATACGTCCCATGTTGATGAAGAGACCGAAGAGACTAAACCACGTCCCGCAGCAGCTTTTTGTAATGTCTCACTAGAGCAACTTTTGAGGCGAGGGCCTGACAGAGGGAGTCTGAATCTGCTTGTTCCATGTTTGGCCAGATTGATATGTCATGGTGTGCGGACCCAAATGTAAAACACAGACCAGAGAGTGAGGGAGAGTATAGGGTTTTGATAGCCAAAAAACAACAAGGGGGAAAATATGCTGAGTGGTGTGGGAGCCAAGGACAAGGGTGAGACGGTGGAGGACCAGGTGAGGCGGAGCTGCACGGAAAGAAGGGGGAGAACTGGGAGGATGATCTAGAGCTGTAGGTACAGGGAGACAGGACGGGTAAATTGTTGCAATAAAGTCAAAATATACTCACAATGGAATTGTACTGACAGGCCAGGAATAAGCTGTGCACCACTGAATTATAATCAGGTTGACGTTCCCATGCCGGGAACACACAGGCAGTAAACATAGGGGGCATGAGCAGGCAGTGACAGACAGCGTGTTACTTCATATTTTGGCAGTGATATAAATCTGCTTTTGACCTGTGATGCAATGTATCAATGGCGGTACTTTCATTTCACCATTTTTTATACTCAATGTTTTTCCCGTATTTCTTTTTAAACATTTATGTTGGCAAGAAGATGTGTCCTGATCCCCTGAATTCCCTCCTAACCCAGTTTTCAGGTAAATGTTGAGTATTCTGTAACATCTACTGGGTGCCCTGGTTCAACATGGTTACTGTACATGACGATGAATACAGAAGACTTTGATTATCCCCAAAGTTTCTCTCTAGTGCCACCGCGAGATTGACATTTAGGATTTTGAGGCCAATGTGTCAGCAAAAATGAAAGAACTGCAAGAGAAGTTGGTATTGTACACAAACAGGCGAATGATATCTTGGTGATCATGTGACCTTTTTAATCCAGCATCATCATTAGGTCGACATTCTTGTCGAATACCAAAAGTCATACTAACCTGTGTACATTACACATTACAAAACTATTGTAAATGAACTATACATTAACTTTCATACGGGACGCCAACAATGGTCTCCTGGGTGAAGGTTCTGTGTTTATTTAACTTATTCATCTACCTGCCCTACTGGCCATTTGACCTGAATCAGTTTATCTGAATACACACGCTAAAGGTGGCCTCTATACCTTGTTGTCAGAGCACTGACCAAGCTGTAGTATTGTGGCAATTCGTATTGGAAAGCCTCACAAAGCCCCACTTGCTACCAAGAGTTACCAAGTCAAGTTGTTAAGCAAACAGGTCTCAACATACTGTACCAATCAAAAGTTTGGACATGTTTTCTCATTCAATTTAATGAGAAAGTGCTTAACAACTTGATGTAATTTCTTAGAACCCAGTCAAATAAAATATGAGACTGAGACCAGAGATATAAAATCAGCTTGGCTGCTTCTGATACCACACTCAAATATCACACCTGCTAAACATTACGTGGTTGTCATCTCCTTTTCAGAACAACAAACCCTGGTTGAGCATATTTTTGGACCGTGTAAGAATCCCTTTATACTCCATAAAAGACTGAGTTCATGAGAGGAAACTGTAGTTCTGTAAATCGGAGAGGTTAGAAGGAGAGGAACCGGCCTACCTTCTATCAAAAATCTCATGAGCTGTAGTTCTGGCTTGTTTCACCTACCTCGTACATCTCAATGATGATGCTACTCCGAGAGCCAAAATGAGAAAGAAACTACATGAAAAAGTATTTACACTGTACACAATGTAATCCGTTACATGTTCCATATACTGTACTGTGAGCAGGACGAGGAGAGTCTCACTATGAGAGAGGTGAAGAAGAAACGTACCTGTTTCACATCATAAGCGAAGAGCACATATTTCAGATCAGGGGAGATGGAATACTTGGCCACGTTGAAATTTATCTAGGAATAAAGAGAGGTCTAGCTTAACTGTATGCAATTTCAATTAACATCATCATTTATATCTTAATGCAAACTTGTCATTCAATATACAATATGACAAACTCATCTACTTACAAATGTTGTGTTTGTCAGGACAATCTCTGTTTCGTTTTTAAGGATGTCGAACTTGATGACGTGGCCGTCGCTGTTTCTGTAGATGACTTTAGAGTCTGTAAATAGAAAGAAACGGAACAAAGAAAAGAAGAAAAAAATAATTTATTTGAAAGAAATTGAATTGGTAAATCTGTCCAGAGAAAGATATCACAGAGAAAAACGTCAAAGCGAAAAAAAGCAGCCAACTCTACTCTATTCGGAAGTACTAAGATACCACCAAAAAACAAATGCTATGCCTCAGCATTACCTCAAATTGAATTAACAGAAAGCATGGAGGAGAAGTTTGTGCAATAAAAAAATTGATTTCACTGCCTGGGGACCACAAAGGGGAGGACTACATGTCTTCCCTGCAGAGGACTGGTCCTTGGACGAGTCAGCAGTGTTGTTTTTATTCTTCTTTGTCTGAGCCAAACTTTCAGAAATGCAGCCCATCTTAAATGTTGGAGGGAGTATCACATTAATAACTTGATCGTGTCAACACCAAGCAGCAAGGTAAAAATAAACAAACCGCAACCATTTATTAATACAAATCATGAAAACTAGCACTAACTGGCAGAAAAAAACAAAAAGGATGAGGCAACGCGAAGTACAGAGTTAAAACTACATGGCAGGTAACAGATATGCAAAATCTGAAATAAATGGATGCAGAGGTACACACACAGGTGTTCACAGGTTAAAAATAAAACAAATAGGCACGGCTTATTAATATTTACTTCCAGATATTAAGGGTTCCCAAATTAATTCTGGTCGAAATCTTACTTTGTCCTCTATTTTAGTTCATGACCAGATGAGTCATGAAGGTTCTTGCCAAGTGACACGGAGAAGATGTCTAGCTCACTATCATGCTAGAGAAAAAGAAGCGCCTTGCTTAAAAAATGTTATCATCTAGAAAAGAGAATGTTGATATCTTTTATACCTTTATCATTTTTGCAGGGAACATTATCATTGATGATGAATGCATTTCAAATAGGTTGCTTGTGTGTTCACTTTGATATTCAACAGTATAATATCATTAATGCCTCAAAATAATTACAACATGACATTTTCAAATTGTCCCATGACAAAAGGCCAAATATTGCTCCAAATGATGGTTCTCAAAATCAGAGCAAAATGAGAATGACTTGTCACAATCGTCTTGACTGAAGCTCAACAGGGGGATGTTGCTTGGTGACTCGAGTCTGTTAATACAAAATGATGGTCCTCCTTCTCCTTCAGATTCAAACAAAGGGAATTGGCAAAACGTTTGCTACACAGAGCTCAACATCTGTTCTTTACAATACGTTTGGGGGCTTTTTGGTTGAGTCAAGGCTTTACAAATGAATGGCAGCAAAACATGAATACTTTTCCTGTATTGGGAAGAAGAATAAGGTATCTCAACATCAAGAAGTGGATGACTTCTTCTGAAAACTTCCATGGAAACAGCTGTTTGTGGGTGGTTATATTATAAAGGGGACATTTGGAAGTCCACTTATGTCAGAATTTAGTCATTTCTGAATTGTCTAACAGCAGAAAGTCCCCACTTAACAGAAACAGAAGGGAGTCTGTTGGTAATGGTAATAGGAATGCATAGGTGTGTGTGTGTGGGCGGTGGGGAGCGACGAAACCTGTCTGGATCTTTGGGCTTATGCAATGCAACTGCGGCTCATATAGAAAAGAATAGCTTTACAATTAAGCACAGCTTTACTGAACACCTCTGGTTAATCCAACAGCTGCCAATGGTGCGTTTGGATGGCACGCTGCACCCAGAGAAAAAGGCTCCCACTGCTTCCAGTTCCTCCTCTTATCAAATGTGCCAGAAAAATTATCATTTTTGCTTTCACATAAAACAAATACTGAACCAGTGATATAACTAAACAAAGGAGGGGTGGGGGGGGGGGGGGGCACTGGAGTCCTTTAACACTACATCTTAATGGACTGTACTGGTGGTTTTGAACGGCCTGCTCTTAACAGAACTTGATGTACTATAAATGCTTTAAGAATTCTCTTGTAGACAGATTTGCATTTGCTTGGAATAGCCCATTTATTAAATTGAAAAAAGATGGCATAGAAAATGTCCACAGGCAAAAAAGCCAAAAATGTGTGTTCAAATATATATTTCTCCAATGAAGTCATTTTTAAAGCATCAAAATCCTTTTTTTTACTCGACACCACCACATGACACTTAATAACAGGAGACATGTTGAAAACATGCCCAGTTATGCTTCGAAGCTACTTAAAGGTAAAGTATATAGTTGAAAAATGAACATAGACAAGCGGGGGGGGGTTGGCAAAACCCAAATACTGGAAATCAACCTTGGATGTAGACGATCGTCTGAGGCACCAGGAGATTACCTGGACATTGACCCACAAACATCTTACTATCATACAGACAGAAATACAGACTACGGTGAAAAATTATATCAGTTTTTCAAACACCTTTTCATTTGATAATAAACCTTAAATCTGGGCCCGCCAAAGAGATGAATATTTAGAACTGATAACAAACAACTCTTTCCAGTCATATTTAATGCAGTTGTGAACCCTAACCCGCAGCAGACACGTTGAGAACCACTGCCATAAAACATCCCTGTAAGTCTCCACACTGCATTGCACTTTTCTTCTTAAATAATGAAATGTTTGTAGCTGAAAAAGAACAAACTAAGACTTTAATGTATAAGTAATGTTCTATGTCTGCAACCCGATGAATAATGAAAAGCCTTGGCTTTTTCTCCTGCCGTGTCTAACTGTGTGGAGAAATGGTCGCTATACACGCCACACGCTACCGCTACCACTGAGGCTTTTGTGGGGGTTATTTTTTTGCCAGGTAAATACAACGTTTCGTGATGTAAGATTCTTTACATCTGAATGTAAGGAAAAGACTAACCATACTTTACTTACAACTTGAGGCTTTTATCAGGCCTAATTGTAATAGAATACAATCCACCACGTTGGTCGGGCTTTCAAATTGATGTAACCAAAAATAAACTAAATACGCACTAAATTTCAGTGGAACATAAAAGGAAATTATGAGTAACAACAATGCAGAAGAAGACGGCCGGTCGGAGGCGGTCTGTGAGCTGTCTGTCAGAAAGACGGTTCCTGTACTTTCATCGGTGAAAATGCAATTTCGCAGAGGTACATTGATCCAAAGTAGGCTCTCACTTTCAGAGCACATGCGCTGAGCAGAGGTAACTTCTCTCTGCTTAAGTCTCGAAAGTCCCCTTCCATTGACCTTGTCACTTGCATATGGTCTCTGCATATCAGAGACCATAACAAACAGCATAGCTGCAGATTCCATTGCAGTGAAACCCAAGGGAGTAAAATGTGACGTGTCTTTGGAAGGGAGTATCTATTCTTGTGCAATTGGCAAACGGACATACACATGATCATGGGAAATAAAAATATGGCTCGGGTAATGATGTCCCGCCTCCCAGGTATGTACTCACATACTGTAATGTTTCTTTAAAAACCTTTGACATCTCTCTGGGTTTTAGAAATCGAGCTCCAGACTCTAGTAGGGTTAAGGTAAGACAGCCAGTGATTAGAGACTGTAGTACTGGTTTGTGAAAAAGGCTCTGGGATAAACCACATACTCCAATTTCCTCCATCTCAAACAGATGTGTAACACAACCACCCACATCTGGCCAGGCCACTTACATTACATTACAGGTCATTTAGCAGACGCTTTTATCCAAAGCGACTTACATTACACTTTAAACCCATGGCTTTTTACATTTTTGCCCAGGGAGCAATTAGGGGTTTGGTGTCTTGCTCAGGGACACTTCGACTTGAGACATGGGGCAGCCGGGACTCGAACCACCAACCCTGCGGTTCCCAGTGCACCCGCCCCACCACCTGCGCCACGGCGACCCCCACTTAAAAGGACATGCTATCTCCTCAAATGACACTGAATGTTTTCATTAGATGTACATTTTGTTCATTATTATTCATAATCTGTGCAGCAATCTCCTTTCCTAATATTGGGAACTGTTAATAAAACATATAACAACCAATAATCAAATATGGGGGCAGTGTTTGGATGTCACCCACCAAATCATATTTTGGCCGTGTAAAAAGGGATGCAATGTGTTGATCTCATATTTCTTTGCCAGCACTTGGACCGATGTCATCTGGGGCCAGTTGCAGTCGGACCAGGCTTATGATGGGTGAAAAGGGCTGAGTGGTATAATGATATGGAGGAAATGTTATTTTATTCAAAATCAGGCGACTCTATTCATTAGGTTTAAAACCAGTATTTCTGCAGGGTTGCTGATACAAATTTCGCTACACTAATATTATTGTCATTATTAATATGGATTTTAGCTTGGGGGTTAAGGGGCTGCAGCAAAGGATTGTGAAAGTTAAAAAGTGAATTTGAAAAAGGGTTATTTTCCAAACATGTTTTTATTGAGCAAAATATTCTACTCCTACTTCGACGAGTAGGCCTTATAGTTAGAAACGTTTTCACTGTATTAAAAAAAAAAAATTTTTCCATCTCTGCACACAGAAGGGAAGGCATGCAACTTTATTACCAGGGCGGTTGAACCGCAATTTAACAGGAACATAATTCATAGAAATAAACACTAGATTTAAGCCTTGGCAGAAGTTTGCCTTCTACTAGTATTCCGGCTTTGTCCACTTTGAGCTGGAAGCTCGTAAACAACATCATGTATTCACTTCCCATCAGATAGTAAACATAAACAGCTGCAATTCAACCACATGTTCTAGTTTAACACAATATGCCATGCATTGCGTGCATACTCTTTGACCCTTTTTCACAGACTGCTACACTCGAGGGAGGGAGATGGGAGAGGTTTGACAAAAAGGACAAGGTAATTTTAGCTAAGCAGATGAGGATTCACAGCCAATGGAGAGCAGAGTCTGAGGACAAGGCGGAACTCGGGGAACTCGGGGCACAATGCAATATGCATAGCACACACAGAATTATTTAGAGAAGGTTGCGTAATGTAATGCTTGAACGCTATATCGGCAGTCCCTACGATGTCACAGCTGGTCAAGCTCAAAGCCAACTTGTTAGAGATAGAACACGCGTGCTTGGTTATGCAGGGGCTGACTG